ATCCTTACCGTGCGGGGTGACTGTCACTGTGGCTCTCCAAGGCCATCCCGGAGGCCCTGCGAGGGCCACCGCCCACCAGAGGCAGGGCCCGTGAAGACCAGACCACGGCGGCTTTCTCGTCGCCCGCCCGGCCCGCATCCGCTACAGATCGGCTCCCAGTTCCACCGATCCCCATCCCGAGCGGCGTGGCCTGGGCCCCACTGGCCGATTCACCCCCCTAGATGGGGATAATATAGGTCGCTCCCTTCGGGCTTCGAGGGGTGTATCCCCAACTGGGGGGGTAACTTGGTGGGGGTCTCGAAGGGGATGGGGATGGGGATGGGGATCGGATCAACAATACTGAGCGCGGAGCCCGCCAGGGGCGGCGCCAGAGGCGCCGCCGGGGGGGCCCAGCGCGGATCCAAGAGAGCCGCGCGGAGTGCCAAGAGCTTACGGCGGGTTTGTGTCGTGTCGACCCCGGCGTTGGTTTCTGACATCGCGTTGATCGTTCAGCCTTGAACGATCGGCGGCGTATCGATTGCCATATCGTTCCATATTAGGACGATTCTGGGCCACTGGCGGCGTTCAACCTTGAACGCCCGCGGCGGGGTCGCGACGAGTCGACACGGCGCGAACCTACCGTATGCTTATGCCGTGCTTGCTCTCCTTCGAGTCCCGACCCGCCTCTCTGCGGCGCGGGCCCAGCCGTGGCGGCGCGGAGGCCCGGCGGGAGCCCCAGGCCGGAGCAGGAACGCCAGGGTTGGGTCGGGCATGTCCGAAGGGGCCCCAGGACACACAAATAAATACACACAAATAAAAATATTCCCCATATTTTCTCATAGTTTCTCATAGTTTCTGGGTTTCTGTCTTCCCCCCCACTTCCCATATTTTCTCATATTTTCTGGGGAATCGAAAATTAATTGTGTCTGTGTGTTTCTTTTCCTCCTGAATGTCATCCTACAGGCGGGTTTCGGAAGAAGCATAAGAAATAACCCAAATGCATTCTCGAAAATATTCAAACTTAGCCTGATGAGGGGCCCAACCAGATGCAGCTGCGAGTTCCGCATTGTGGGCGCCGCTTTCGGCGGAGCTCCCCATGGGGCCGCGAACCGTGTGATGGGTGTGCCGAAATGGGTGCGGTGGTGCCCCGTGCCGTGCGAACCCTCCCACTGGAACCTTCGGTGGAGATCCCAATGGGGCCGAGAACCGTGTGAGGAGCGTGCCGAATTGGGCGCGGTGGTGCCATGCGAACCCTCCCGCTGGAACCTTCGGAGGAGTTCTCTATGGGGCCATTAGCCGTGTAAGAGGTGTGCCGGATTGGGTGCGATGATGCCATGCGAACCCTCCCACTGGAGCCTTCGGCGGAGCTCCCCATGGGGCCGCGAACCGTGTGATGGGTGTGCCGAAGTAGGTGCGATGGTACCATGCGAACCCTCCCACTGGAACCTTTGGTGGAGCTCCCTATGGGGCCACGAAGCGTGTGAGGGGTGTGCCGAAGTGGGTGCGGTGGTGCCGCGCGAACCCTCCCACTGGGGCTTTCAGTGGAGATCCCAATGGGGCTACGAACCGTGTGGAGGGTGTGCCAAATTGGGCGCGTTGGTGCCATGCGAACCCTCCCACTGGAGCCTTCGGTGGAATTCTCTATGGGGCCACGAACCGTGCGAGGGTTGTGCCAAAATGGGCGCGGTGGTGCCAGGCGAACCCTCCCACTGGAGCCTTCGGTGGAGCTCCCTATGGGGCAACGAACCGTGAGAGGGGTGTGCCGAAGTGGGCGCGGTGGTGCCGTGCAAGAGATCCCACTGGAAAAATCGGTGGGGCCCCATATGGGGCCACCAAACGTGTGAGGGGTGTGCCGGATTGAGCGCGGTGGTGCCATGCGAGCCCTCCCATTGGAGCATTCGGTGGAGCTCCCTATGGATCCACCAAACGCGTGAAGCGTGTGCAGAATTGAGCGCGGTAGTGCCACGCGAACCCTCCCATCGGAGCTCCTTGTAGGGCCGCGAAATGTGTGGGGGGTCTGTCGACATGGTGGACATGCGGAGGGCAGAGGCACGGATGGGAGGATGGACGCGGCGGGAGGAGAACGCGGGGCGCTGTCTCTTCGAAACGAGGACCCGACACCACAGGATGGATGGGAAGTGATCATCGGGAGCGGCCAAGAGGGGGGGGTGCAAATCATGACCGGCGGCATGTGCGCGGCCCAGCGGGGGGGCCAGGGACGTAATGAAACAAGAAGAGGCGCCATAACATCTGGGGGAACATATCATGGCCCCCGCCTTGCTATCCACCCCCCCCAGTCATCACCCCCCTCTTTGCCGCCCCCGGGATCAGAAAAATCGCCCCCTAAAATATGTGTTTTGACCAGTCTTGAGTGCGTGTTATGAAAATAAGCGCCCAGAAAACACGTTTCGACGATTCTTGAAAATCATCGCCCCAAAAATATGTTTTTTATCAGAGCCATCGCCCCGACAATGTGTGTCTTGACCATTCTCGAGTACTCCTCCTGCAGAGGGACGCGCCC